GAAGCTTGCTTTAGACCATAGATGGACTTTTTAAGCCTACACACTTTATGGGCCTTGCCTTTATCCTGAAAACCTTCAGGTTAGTCCATATAGACCACTTCATGCAAGTCACCATTTAAGAAGGCTGTTTTGACGTCCATCTGATATAACTCTAGATCATAATGAGCTATTAATGCCATGACTATTCGAAGGGAGTCCTTTTTAGAAACTGGAGAAAATGTTTCCTTATAATCAATCCCTTCTTTTTGAGTGTATCCTTTAACAACTAATCTGGCCTTGTATCTTTCAATATTGCCTTTTGAATCACGTTTAGTTCTAAAAATCCATTTGCAACCAACAGTTTTGGATCCTTCAGGTAATTCTACAAGATCCTAGACTTCATTATCCTTCATGGATTTTAATTCTTCATTTATGGCATTAAGCCATAGAGTTGATTTATCGCTACTTATGGCTTGAGCATAAGAAATGGGATCATTTTCCATGCCAATATCATAATCACACTCATTTAAATAAATTTCATAGTCATTCGATATAGCAGGCCTACTTTCTCTTTGAGATCTGCGTAAAGGTACTTCTACAATTGGAGTAGATTCCTTAATGTGGGAAGTTTCTTTAATACCACAATTTTTTATAATAGGTGTATGTATCACCTTATCTTGGACCACCTGTAATGGCATAAGAATCCTATCTTCCACAAAGGAAATTTTTCTAGGCTCAGTTCTCCCACCAACATCCCCATTTTCTAAAAACACAGCATGTCTAGTTTCAACAATTCGAGTACTATGAGTAGGACAATAAAATCTAAACCCTTTTGATCGTTCTGGGTAACCAATGAAATAACAACTTATAGTTCTAGAGTCCAATTTTTTTAATTGTGGGTTGAATATTTTAGCTTCTGCTGGATATCCCCAAATATGAAAATAGTTTAAAGTCGGTTTCCTACCAACCCATAACTCATAAGGAGTTTTAGGCACAACCTTACTAGGAACCCGATTTAAAATATGTATAGCAGTCCTCAAAGCTTCACCCCATAAAAATTCAGGTAAAGAGGAATTACATATCATGCTTCTCACCATTTCCATTAGAGTACGGTTTCAACGCTTAGCAACACCATTTTGTTCAGGTGTGCTTGGCATTGTATAATTTGCAACAATACCATTCTCTTTCAAATATAAGGCAAAAGGACTTGGATTTTGACCCGACTCAGTGAATCTACCATAATATTCACCGCCTCTATTGGATCTCACGCTTTTAATCCGTCTGTCAAGTTGATTTTCAACTTCAGCTTTATAGATTTTGAAAACATCAAGTGACTCAGATTTTTCATGGATAAGATACAAATAAGTATACCTAGAAAAGTCATCAATAAACATAATGAAATATTTATGTCCATTAATGGTTGAGATTGGAAAAGGTCCACATATATCAGTATGAATTGTTTCTAACAATTCTGTGGTCCTTGAAGCACCCTTTTTCTTAATTTTTGTGTACTTCCCTTTTATGCAATTCACACAAGTACCGAAATTAGAGAAATCAAGTGAATCAAGAATTTCGTCTTTAACAAGACGTGCCATCCTTTCTCTTGATATATGGCCTAAACGTTTATGCCACAACATGGATGAATTATCACCCACTCGATTTCTCTTTTTCTTGGTAACATCATTCACATTAAAGGATAAAAGAGATTGGGCATAATTTGAATCTAAATTCAATGAATAAAGATTACCCTGTAGGATACCAGAGCCAACCAAATGAGAATTATGGAATAAAGAAACTCTTTTATTTCCAAACTTTAATTCATAACCATAAGAATCAAGTTTCGGAACTGAAATAAGGTTTCTAGTAAATACAGGAACGTAAAGTGTATCTACTAAATCCATAATGAAACCAGCGTTCAAAATTAGACGTAGAGTCCCAATGGCCGCAACGTCTACTTCTGTTCCATTTCCCAATGTAATGGCCTGTTTTCCTTTATTTAGTCTCTTGCTTGTAAGGTATCCCTGCATAGAATTTGTTATGTGAATACTTGCACCAGTATCAATCCACCAAGTGTTTGGTGGAACATCAACAAGGTAAGATTCATAAGACACAAAGCATTGGGTTTTACCTTTTTTTTCCAACTAAGATTTAAAACCCTGACAATCTTTTTTCACATGACCTTTCTTATGACAGAAATGGCAACGTATGCATCTTATTATCTTCCTTTTGGACTTGGTGAGCATCAACATTAGCATGTGTAGTTTTCTTACCTTTACCTTTCTTGAACTTCTTTCTACTTGGACCCCTAATGGTAAGGTGAGCCATATCGAGTTTTTCAGCTTTAAGCCTCTCTTCTTCTTGAACACACATGACAATCAACTCGCTCATCTTCCACTTCTCTTTCTGCGTATTATAATTAATTTTAAATGGACCAAATTGGGTAGGAAGAGAAGTCATCATGAAGTGAATGAGAAATCCTTCAGAGATTTCCATATCCATTCCTTTCAATTGAGAGGTCATATCATTCATCTTCATGATATGCTCACGAACACCACTTTGACCATTATATTTCATTGTCATCATTTTCATCATTAGAGTACTAGCAACAGATTTGGAAGTACCTAAAAATTGTTCTTCAACTGATTTCATATAGCTCATTGCATTATCGGAGTCAGAAATGGCTCCTCTAATTGCAGGCATAATTGAGCTTTTCATAATCATTAGACTCATGCGATTAGAGCGCTCCCACTTTTCATATAAAGCCTTTTGTTCTATAGTACTTTCAACAGTAGGCTTTATAGGTGCAGGCTCCCGTAATGCATAGTCTAAATCCATACAACCAAGAACAATTCCAATATGTTCCTTCCATTTCTTAAAATTTGTTCCACTTAAAGCCTCAATACCAGACAAGTAACCAGTAATTGCAGTAGGATTCATAGCTGCAAAGAAATAATCTAATTAACAAATTAAAACCACACTTTCAATAAATCTAACTAAAATCAAAAGTAGTTAGATATAAAATCAATAGATTTACCATATCATCATAAGAAACCAATAATGCAATTGTAATTCTTTCGTTGGGCAGAACTACAATATATTATTATTAGTATATATATATATATATATATAACATTAAAATCACCCTTACCTATGTCACCATAAATGAGGTTGACAAAGATGTAATGCATATCATATTCCTTATAGAATTATTTCACCTTTGGGCAGAAAAACTCCAATATGCTTTACATTAATCATAACATTCATTTAACCATAGTGATCCACCGTTGGGCTGATCATAACTATATATGGTTTAATTATTTCCCAATGTCCAACTATTCATAGTATTGACCCTCCGTTGGGCTTATCAATACTACTTCAAAATTGAACACTTCATAATGTGAACCAAAAAATAATTTTATAATATATAATCATCAATATTGTGCATTAATTGGGTTATACATAATCAAGCATCAAAATAATCTATAGAGATACTCAAGAAATTCATATAAGTTTCATGCATCAAAATTGAGAACCATGGCTCTGATACCACTTGTTAGACATAATAAGAAATACTTTAACAATACAATAATTAGCCCATTAGGATTCAACTTTGATGCACAAAAACAGAATGAGTTATAAAATGTAGATATCTTACCTTGATCCATTATAAGTAAGAGATTTTGAACCTTAGTTATTGATGCTGACTGAGCTAAAAGTTAGGTTCCGTCTATTCTAAATAACCAATGTTGAAATTATAAGATCTTCAAACCACTTCTCTCTCTATAGTTAATGGGTACTAATTGTGGTGTTTCATTTCACAATTCACGTTATAAGAGAGTATAGTTTGGGACCCCTTTATATAACATTAGTTCATTAAAGTTAGTCTTCCCATAAAAGACTTTTATATTTTCATAAGAACACCAAGAGTTACTAAAGGATCACTTAACTTTTCATTAAGTGACCACTAACTCAAATTCCATTAGTGATGCATTAATCACTAAATAAATAAAAGAGTATATATGTAACTCAAATTACGTTAGTAGTCTATCTATCTTTACACTTTTGGTTTTTCATATAGGTGCACTTAATATTGGATTACCTTCCAATTAATTTCTTAAAACCCTCCTTATGGAATTATCTAGTATATCATAATATCATATGTATGATCATGTAAAGGCCACTAATTAAAGTGATAAATTTTTAACAAAAACAACTTCTTTCTTTTTCTTTTTTTTTTTTTTTTTTTTCTTTTTTTTTTTTTTTTTTGCCTCCTCCTCTTTCTCCCCACTTTATGTCCACATCCCCAAGCAAAAAACAGTAAGGGCATCTTGTCAAAACAAAATGATTTTGTTTTTGATGGTGCTGGAAAGGATATGATTTTGACAGGTAACTTATTAAAACCAAAACAAATCTTGTTAAGTAGGTAAAGTAGGTACAGTGGTACACTATTCTTGTTATTTAGAGTTTTGGCCTCAAGTTCCCTGACCCAATTACAGCTTGAGTGAAAAGAAAGAAGTCTTTGATAGAAGGCGTGGAGGATACACGATTACCAGCTGCAACTTGGGCGAGTCCAACCCGAATTAATCCTAATACAGTTTGAAAATTTTCAAATTTGAATTGTCCAAATTGCAATTCGATCTGAACTTGAATTGAAAATTAGGATTTGGTTTCATTTCACGCAACTTGGGTTAATATGTCAGCTAACTTGAAGCCCAACCTGAATTACAAAACCCCACAAACCCAAAATATGAACCTGATTTCATACCTCAAGATTATGGTTGGGCATTAAGGATTTCATACGTTAAGTTAACCCCGAGTTGAGCCTACAACCCATCTGAGTTGCAACTTTACTCTCTTTGGCTAGTTTCAACTATGTTACGCTTGAAGTGTTGAATTCATACTATAAAAAAACAACTTTTTTTATGCAAATTTTTTACTAAACTTCAAACTCGTGCATTCACAATAATGCAAAATCTTATCTCTGAGATACAACACATTTCTTAAATTCTTATCCTTCTTGTCTATTGATATTTCAGTGCAATCTCAAGCAAATAGAGACAAAGCTCTTTGGGTTTTGAAAGCATGGACATATGGTCAGCTCCAGCTATGGACATCACTTCTTTAGTTGGACTTTTCTCAATCATCCATCTCTGGAATTCTTCCTTCAAACTTTGATCTTCTTCGCACACTATAAAAGCCCGATTGACCGACCCGTATTTCTTCTCTGTTAGCAGAGATTCCTTGATTAAGTCTTCAAAGAACAAGCCACTTGGCCTTGTAAACATTTTAGCTAATTCAATCTCCTGCATATATGCAACAATAAGTAAATGCACATCAACAAAAACTGTTCTTTGCTAATTATTTGAGTGAAATTGCTTGTGCTACTAACCTCTGGTTGGCAGTTATTATAAAGTATATTTGTCAAGGAATCTGGACCTATGATTACAGAAGAAGGTGGGTTTTCCAGGTCTCCATCGTATGAAAATTCGTTATCCATAAAGGAGTCTGGCGAAGTCCTTCTAAAGAACTGTTTTGTAAAACAAAAGACGTGAGACAACAAATGGATATATTTTTAGAATTTAATTACATGCAGTAAATTTATGTTGCGTGTTGCGTTTGAGAGTATCAAATTGGGGGCTTCGATTTAGAATTGAAGCAAATTCGGTAATAACTTTGAACAAAATTTATTTCAATTCCGAGTCCAGGACGTTAATTCAGTGTTCCCAAATAAAACATGAAATGTTATACCTATTTCTAAACATAGCATGAAATGTTATACATGTGGAATCACGGAGAAACAATAAACAATCACGCAAGAAATATGAATTTTGATGTTGTCTAGTAAACCCTTTTATGTCAACTAATGAGACGTGATCAATTGTTTATATATTTTTCATAGCAATACATGGTAAAAAAATATCATACGCTAGATGAACCTGAATCTTGTCTAGTACACCACCTTTGTGTATAACATATTTTTCTGTGGAATTTAACACGTATGCAACTCTATGCAATTGCAACCAATTAAATCTACTTATTATGTAGTGTTACATGTTGATATAATATTTTTCTTTATGCATTACATTCTCGAAGTAAATGTGTTGCATTAGCACATAATCATCCACCGCAATAGAGGGGATCCTGATGCCTTGAACTAATACCAATATTCTGATCCATCGATCAGTTGATGTCTAATAACTACATGGTGCACTTTCTACTCTAAAGTACTTTAGTACTAATGCATTCTCTACTTGTTCGTTCATCCCAATGTTCGATGTATCCTAAACATTGCTGGTGGTGTTCTTCTAACCCCAAATGGGTTGTTGGAAGTGTTGAGTGTGCGCAGTGGAGTGGTTATGGAATATATTATATGGATAGATAATCTAGAGAGATGGTAAATAGATTCAACTTGCTCTTTTATCCAATTTTTACTTATTTTAATTTTATCGAAATAAAACTAAAATCAAACCACAAAGTAAAAATAAAGTGCAAGTAAAGTAAATAGAGTTCTAGAGATGACACCAGGATTTTATCGAGGAAACCCCAATTGGTAGAATAGACCAATTGTAACAGGAAAAACCTCGTTGGACTCTCCAGTCCTAAGATAAACGATCCACTATATTATACCGAACTTTGACTCAGTCTCACACCCTATCGTTCTACCAAAAACCAATTGCTGACAATCCCTGACTTTGCGACTCCCCCGTCCAACAGCTCTTGACCTCAGGCTTACTCTCAATCTTTGTAGAAGAGTTGCAGGTAGATCAGACAACACTCCACGAATGCTCTGACCCCTTCAAAGTGTGATCGCTTCACCCCTTTTCTTCTATATCTGAATTTGATGAAGAATGAATGAATTCTGCTTTTCTGGAATTTCTGAATCTTCAATTATGCTTCAATTCCGATGAGATAGAGAACAACACTCCTAAATCACTCTTGTGTTTATGTGTGTGCTCTCAAAAATAAAATCAGAAAAATCAGATTGATTTTCTGAATGAATAAAAAATATCTCTCAAAAGGCTTTCTCAAAGATCTGAAATTTTGTATGCAAAAGCCGTGTAAAAACCAATGTGTGTGACAAGGTTTATATAGAGTTTAGAAAGTCTTAATCCCTCAGAAAATATGATAAAATTCGTGCATAGGATTTGGAAGGAAGTTGGGATTAAAAAGGAAACATTCAGAAAAAGGAAACTGAAGTTAGAATAGTACCAGGACTTCTTGAACCTGTTCGATAAATCTTGAACCGGTTCAAGATGGACAGACTCTAAAATTGCCACTCTGGTGAAGTTAAACCTATTTGATAAATCTTGAACCAATTCAAATTGAACCTGTTCGATTATTCTTGAACTAGTTTAAGATAGACAGAATGTAAAATCTTGTTCCGAACAAAATGGAAAGTGTAGAATGTGTCCAACCTTTTTTAGAATCCTTCCTAATGTGTTGTTCTTATCTTCTTCAAAAAAAATCTCAGTTATGGTAACTTTGAACAACCTTTCCTTTCCACAGTCGCTGTCGATCCAGATGTAGTAACTTGAATTTACAACTGACTAGGACTTGTTTTGACACCGAAAGTTGCCAAGAACAGAATATATATATTTTACAATCTTCCCAAAATATATATCTTACAATCTCCCCCTTTGGCAATTTCGTGACAAAACCCTAAAAACAACATGTAATCTACCCAAGCAGAAAAAGCAAATTACAATGATTGTCAAAGAAATAAAACGGAACTCTTCTTGAACATCATGAAGCTTCAATACATGTAACAACATGTAATCTGCACATTAGCTCAACAAAACTACCCGTGAAACTTAATCAAGAAAGATAAACAATCAACATATATCAATATGTGAATATCAATGTATATGTATCTTCCTCTCAATTCTAGAAACTCTCCCCCTCAATTATTCACATTCTCCCCCTTTTTGTTACAAATTGACAAATAAAGCTCAACAAAGAAGGAAAAGAAATAATGTGGAAGAATTAACAAGAAAAAAACTAAAAGGAAAATCTTTTTGGATTGTTTTCATTTTTCAATTTTTTCATGTTTATGATATTTTAACAAAAAAATATGAGATAGCAATTTCCACGAATTTTAAGCATATATGAGATCCAAAAATTTCTGAAGAATTCAAGAGAATTTTAAAACACAATTTTTAGACCCCACAAATTATTCAATCAAATTAATTCTCAAGCATGCAATCACAACATGAAATTTAACTTGCAATTTTTATAAAAATTTAGAAATTTGTTTAGCAAGTTCACATGTGTGTGTGTGCAATCCAATCTCATCAAATTTCAATCAAATCACATTGATCAATTGTCTAAATCATATTGATCGAAAAGCATCAAGATAAGATTGTTTTGAGCAAACTTTTCTAAGCTAGGCGGCTTTCACTCTAAAGAGCAGACAATAATTCTCTATTTCGACTTGTCTCCTCCTTTCTTTTTACTCAATTAGCTCCTCTTCAAAGTCTAATAGGAGCTTTCGAACTAGTCTCAATAGGTAGCATTTTCCTTAGCAAAAATTTTCAGCGATCTTTTGATTTTTCTTTTCTTTTAATGCTGAAATTTTTCATTTGTTTTCCTCAAACACATGCTCTATAATTTTTTTAAAACAATAACCTTTATAGCTTTTATGAGCAATATGACCTAGTCAACTTCACAACGATTTCCAATTAAAATTCTCAAAGTTGGACTAGTGCACAAAAAAAATATGAACTCAAAAGACTCATCTCTAAAAAGAAATAAACAAAGCAAATTGTCTTTCAACATATAGATTACACATCAAGAACCTTTTCAACAAATAATCATGTGTCCCCAATTTGCATTCAAAAATAATTAATTCAAGAGAAATAAGTATCACTCATGCATTGACAAGAAAAACATGATCATTACTTTCTCATGAAAGAAAAATAACATAAATCCTAAACTACAAGATATGGTCCAATGAAAACAAGATATTCATCAAAGCATAGTCCATGACCATAAAAACTCTTTAGGACTTACTCTGGGGGTTTTGCACCCAATGACCTATTGGAAACAAATTCCATGGCATCAAAAGGCACATACAATTTCAAATCCTCTTTCTTCACCCAAACAGCTTTCACCTTCAACTTTTGAAGAGAATTTTTAGGAATATCAAGAACATTCTTTTTCTTATATGAATTCCTTTTAGCATGAAAATTTCTAGGTTTATTCCAATTACTTTGCTTTCTAGCATGAAACCTATTTTCTGCAAAGGAATTATAACCATGAAAATTATAATAAGAATTATCCCTGCTCTTCTTATAACAATAGTGTTGATTATGTCCAGTTCTACCACAATAAGAACAATAAAGCACCTTGGACATACTCTTAGCATGCATAGGATCAACAAAAAGCTTAGGCTTAACAATAGGCACATTCAAGTTCATGGGTTTAACAAAAACAGTTTGACCCTCTTTACTAGATAAAGCCTCATTAAAACCTAATCCAGTTTTATCACTTACATGCTTACCAACACTAATCATCTTATTAAGCTTAATCTGTCCAGAAGTAAAAGTAATTAATTTCTCTTGAGACTTTTTCAATTCAAGCTCAAGAAAATTAAATTTGGCAACAAAAGATTCTCTAGCAGAATTAGCTTGACTTACCTCGCTCTCGAGAATTTTTACTTGACCTTGAAGATTCTGAAATTTAACTTTATTCTCCTCAAGTAATTTTTGTTTTTGCTTATTCTCCTTCTTCAGGATCTCATTCTCTCTTTTCATCAACTCTAGTTCCTCAGACTGCTTCTGACTAGCCTCTAACATTGCCTCAAAGATTTTCAATGTATTGCTTTCACTTAGTTCTTTTTCAATTTTCTTATCATCCGAATCATAAGAACCAACCTTGCTCAATGTCCCAAATTTGGTAGAATCTCCTACACAAAAAGAAGAATTATTAACAGTATCATTATCAACATGAGCAAGAAAAGCACAAGAAACATCTTTCTTATTTTTCTTATCTCTGAATTTGGAAGAATCTCCTTTGCTACAATTTTTATTCTTTCTATTTTGAAGGAGTCTTCCATATCTTTTAGATAAACGAGAAATTTCCTCATCAGAGCTTAAATCATTGAAAACAAGATCGGAACTTAAACCATCAAAAAGAATATCCAATTCACCCTTATTCATAGGATTTTCCATTATGAATTTTTGAAAACAAAAATAGTTTTATTTTTCAAAAAAAACTTCCACAAGGATTAACTCAATGTATCGAGGATGGCTTTGATACTACTTGTTAAACAAGAGTTACGCGGGGTGCGGAAACAGTTGATTTTCATTGGGATTAACTCCTTTAATGACCTAGATCTGATTAATAGGTCAACTTGCTTAATTTATGATTAATTAAATTGCATGATCAATTAAACATCCACAATCATAAATATAAATACAGAAAAGTAAAGCAAGCTAAGTTTAGAAATATTGCACCAGGATTTTTAGCGAGGAAACCCCAGTTGATAAAATATGTCAACTGTTATAGGAAAAACCTCGTCGACTATTC